CGGCCCCAGGGGGTAGTATGTCAAAAGTCCTGCTTCATTCAGGAGGCTAAGCTCAGAAACCTCAGCTTCTGAAGTCTGTCAATATGCACCCACACGCCCCTCTTTAGAGTGATTTCTTTTAGCATTCAGGGTGGTTTTCAACCCAGAGACAACAGGCTGCCCCCTGCCTTGGCCTGACTGCCTGCTTTAGTTGCTATTCTTTTATCTCTTACAAGTGGGTGAAGTTGCTCCCTGAATTTTTATAGCACTTCAGGAAGAGGCGGGCTATTGTTACAAGAAGAACCTTTAAGTATATTATTCATTTTTTTTGAACAGAGATTTGTTGATGTGTTATTTTTAAATTCCAAACCTTTGAGGGCAGTAAGAGTTTCAGGAGAACGAACTCTTCAATGCATAATGAGACTGTGCTATTATAAAATGGAAGAGCCCTGGTGTCACTTGCTGTGGTAGAGCGTGGCGTTAAGGTCAGGCTTCTCCCTTAGCATGGACTGAGGCTAACCGTACCCCCTGCTCCTTGGAGTCAGACTCTCATGTGGCTGCCTATGGATTATACAGGCATTTACTCATTGAGGAGGGAGTGAAGACAGGTGGGGAAGCCACTATGCAGCTACCATGTACCGAGCTCTTGTCACATGTCAACATGGTACCCGGCACTCTGTATTAAATACTACATTGGCTTTCTAGGGCTGCCAGAACAAATTCCCACAAACCTAGTGGTTTAAAACAGTACAAATGTATTCTCTGATAATTCTGGAATCTAGAAGTTAGAAATGAAATTGTCATCAGGGCCATGCTCCCTCCCAAGGCTCTAAGGGAAAGAAAGAAAAATCCTTCCTTTCCTCTTCCAGCTTCTGGTGGCTCCAGGCATTCCTTGGCTTGCGGCTGCGTTGCTCCGGTCATTGCCTCTGTGGCCACACTCCCTTCTCCTCTTCTTTGTGTCTTCCTCTGTCTTAGACACTCGTTATTGGATTTGGGCCCCATCTAGATAATCCAGGATGATCCGATCTCAGGATCGGATCCTTAACTTAATTATATCTGCAAAACCCCCTTTTCCCAAATAATGTCACATTCACAGGTTCTGAGTTTGGAACATAGATACATCTTTTGGAGGTTTCACCATTTCAACCTACTGCTGAAACCTCTGAAATTCTCACGAATTCTGAAAGCATCCGTCATTATCTCAAAATTGAACTTCAAAAAGTTTTCTTAAGCTGTTCAGGGTTACACTGCAGATTTAAATGTGGGATTGTCTGGTCTAGTGTATGATGCTAAAGATGATGGCAATAATTAGTGATCTTAGCTGGCATTTCCTGGATGCCTATGGATCAGGCACTGTGCTGGAATTAGAAGTATTATTTCTAAAATTTCTAATAATCCTACAGTAACATCTTTTTATTCACAATTTACAGATGAGGAAACTGAGAGGCTTAGATGAGTTAAAAAGGCTCAAGGTCATACATGTAATAAGTGGTTAAGCAGGAATTTGAAATCAAAGGGAAACCAAGTCAAATGACTTTAGAGAAATCTTCAAAGCACTGAGGAAACTGATAGATAGTAGGTTAGCAGCATTACTTTCGGCAGATAAAGAACTGGCTGTGTCTCTTCGAAAGGCATTAAAAATTCCTGAGACATTTGGGATCAATTTAACCCTACCTGGTGCAGTGTGCTATGGGGCGGTTTCTACACTGTAAGGGAAGCAGAGATTTGGGACATTTTCTTCTTTTTCCAGCCCCCAAGCCAGTCTCTGTTGTCAGATCCGGTCCATGCCTTGACTTTGCCCAGTTACAGAGGACTGTCTTTGATGCTACAGAAAGCACAATCACTCTACTTTGAAAAGCATTTAAGCATTTTCAGAGCTCAATTTCATTTCATTTCATTCTTAGAACGGTCCCTGAGGTTGGTAGGGTGAGTATCATTATCTGCAGTTACAGTCCAGGAGCCTGAGTTTCGAAGTCAGTTGTTACTATTTGCTTCACACAGAGGCAGAAGCAACTTGAAGCCTGACTATTTGAATGCAATTCTAATTCTTTTTCCAGAGCACCAAGCCTGTTTTAGATTAAGAAAAAAATTCCAAGGAAAAAAAAGGGTAAATTTGGCTACCATTGGCTTTAGGTAGGTAAAACACACATTTCTCTCTCTCTCTCACTCTCTTTCTCTCTCTCTCTCTCACACGGCATCCACACACATAAAGTGGTAAAAAAGGTCTCTTTTCTCTTTTCAGTCTTGAGAATAAATGATTGCATTTCCCTGCTGGTACTCAGAAGTGATTTGCAGTTGCAAACTCTTTCTTAAGGGTAGAGGGCTCTTTTGTATGACCTTATTTTCCTTGCAGATCCAAACAAGTGGTCTAAGCATGCTCTATTGTGCCCAGACTGCTGTTTATAGTCCCATCCTCGGATGGTAGATGTTAGTTTATAATGCTAAACCTGATATTACACAGTTCTCAACCCCTCTTCCAAAGACTGGGCTGCATATGCCACAACTTTATGAGGATAAATCATAGAATTGGAAGGAAAGAAATGTGATACTGAAACCCTACATACTCAGATAATATATAGGAATATCTGGAAGCCAGTGGTGCTCAGTCTTCATAGTTGAGAGGAAGGTGATTTTCTAAATAACGTTACAGAGAAGACAAGTTAACCCCAAGTGCATGATTGCCCACCGAAAGAATTCTTCACTAACTGAAGTATGAAGGGTCTTTCTTTTCTCTTGAATCATTATCTCAACACAAATCTTCTGTGCCTCCTTAGACACTGTGGCCACTGCCCACTTCTAGGGCCTTCAACTACTCAGCTGCCATACCTGCCCAGTACAGTTCAACTGGCTGGGGCTGACTGGGGACTTGTCTTAGAAGTCCCCTTAACTCTCCACCCCTCGACCACACACACACACACACACACACACACACACACACACACACACACCCCCAAACCACCTAGTACTCACCTAGAGGTTCTGGCTCTTCCCCTCACTTCCAGACCTGGATGAGACAGGAACACCATACATACATCAGGTTTGGGGTTTGGCATCCCTTATAGTTGGAGCAGTCATAGGATGTAAACTTGGAAATGTGAGGGAGTTAATTCCTAGGGGGACAAGTTTTGACCAATGAGAAACAGGCAATGGGAAGTAAGTGGGAAGATGAACTTCTCCCTTATTCTTCCCAGAGAACGCTAGAGACATGGTCCCTCTCTGCATCCATTGCAAGATATCCCGTATGCCAAAATCACAGACCTGCTGAACCTCCCAGGCCTCATCTCTATCGGTTCATCCCGAAGCAGAAGCCAGCTGTGTGAGGCGTGACTTTGCATTGTTTCCTATACTCACTTCCCCTCTGTCCTTTTCCTACAGCCTCTGTGACCTGGGCTTGTGGTTCCCCTATAAAATATCAGCACTTTAATCCTTGCTTCAGGCTTTATTTTCCCCCAAGAAACCCGAAGCCATATCTTATTAGACTATTACAGAGCATGCCTGATGGGTTGGTGGTCTCACTCACAGTCACCACCCCCTTTCCAACATAGTCCAACACTGAAGCACAAGTCGAATGTGGCATTCCCCTTTGGCGGGATCCCGCTGTCTGTAAAATAGAGTCTATATTCTATCATCTGGTATTAATAGTTCTCTAGATTTGGCCTCAAACTAATTTTCTGATTTCTGTTTCAATGATTTTTTAATTCATGTATCCTGTTCTCTAACTAAACTACTTGAATCTTTTTTTATTACCCCATATTTTCTGACCTCCATGCCCTAATTATGCTCTTCTCTCAATCTGAAATGTCTGCACTTATGTTTCCTCTCTACATTTTAAATTCTGTCCATTAAGGGCAAGCTCAAATGTCATCTTCTCAGATTAATTACCAGTTCCCTCCCCTCTGCTGCCAGCCCACAAAATTTAATAATCTGTTTTTTTGGAACCCCCAAATCATCTTGTCTGTGTGTTTCTTCTTGCTTTTTGCCATATGTTACAGCATTTTGCTATATTTCTTCTCTCCAGTTAGACCATAAGCTCCTTGAGGGTACATCTGACTGATTCATCTTTGTTTCCCAGAGGCCCAGGCTGGTAACTTGAACATAATTGGTGTTTAAGAAAATTTTATGAAATAAATAAACAGTGGCTGAGCATGATACCTCACGTCTGTAATCCCAGCACTTTGGGAGGCTGGGGTGGGTGGGTCATTTGAGTTCATGAGTTCGAGACCAGCCTGGGGAACATGGTGAAACCCTGCCTTTACACAAAATACAACAATTAGCCAGCATGGTGGTGCATGCCTGTAGTCCCTGCTGCTTGGGAAATTGAGGCAGGAGGATTATTTGAGCTCGGGATGCAGAGGTTGCAGTGAGCCCAGATCGTACCGTTGCACTCCAGCCTGAACGACAGAGTGAGATCCTGTCTCAAAAAGAAAAAAGAAATAAACAGTGCATTTTTATATAAAAGCCCAGGATTATGGTTTAAAACTAATTAAATTAAATATTTCTTATCTCAAACCTTAGATCCTTAGTTTTTCAGGAATATACCAAAAAAAAAAAATGGCCATAAGGATGCTTCTATTTGTAAGTTGACAGGTCAGAAGATATTAATAGTGAGAATGCTGTGGCTTTCTGCCTGGGCCATCAAACAGAACATGCCACAGCATTTTGCTGACCTTGGACAGTTGGCTAAGATGCAGTACTGGATGATCTAACTTCTTAAGAAGTGACTAATCTAAGCCGGGCTCAGTGGTTCATGCCTGTAATCCCAGCACTTTGGGAGGCTGAGGCAGGCAGATCACCTGAGGTCGAGAGTTCGAGACCAGCCTGATCAGAATGGAGAAACGCTGTCTCTACTAAAAATACAAGATTAGCTGGACATGGTGGCATGTGCCTGCAATCCTCCCAGCTACTCAGGAGGCTGAGGCAGGAGAATCGCTTGAGCCTGGGAGGCAGAGATTGCAGTGAGCCAAGATTGCACTCCAGTGTGGGCAAAAAGAGCAAAACTCCACCTCAAAAAAAAAAAAAAAGAAAAAGAAATGACTAATCTAAAAGCCCCTGGATAATTAGTTCCTTCCTGAAAATGGAGGAAAAGTTTGGTAAAGAAAGATTCCAGGCTGAGAGGATTGTTACATTTTTTTTTTAACGACATGAAAAGCCTAACAAACAACATAGCAAAAATAAATAATGTATAAACTATTCTATTTAAACTTATATTATTTATAGTCACTCTATATTAATCACTTCTAAGATAAATAAAATCTTCATGGAAACAGCAGGCAAAAACATTGGCTGACTATTTCTCTCGTATGAAATGCTAAACTATGAAATTCAACTATATTTGGAAAATTCAATTATATATTTATTTCTTAAGAACAACTAATAAACTTATAGACAAACTCATGTAAAAATTCAATAACATTTGAAAGGTAAATAAACAGTGCTAATGAGCATTATTACAATCCTTTCCCATGTGTGATGTATGTTTGTGACTAACATCTGTTGAGATTAGGAAAACTTATTATATTAAAATACAGGGAAATTTTACTTGATAAATTAATCTAGATGGGAAATCTATTTTTAAAAAGTTTCATTTGTGAAAAGGTATAAATACCTGGTCACACACAGTTACATTTTGTTGATAGAAATAGACTTTATTAGATCAGTAGAATCAGGCAATAATGACGTGGTCACCAAGACACTTTGAGAAGTAGCCATGATGAAGAGGAAGAAGTCATCAAGTTTTTCATTCTTACAACCACAAAAGAGAGGGAAGAAATGGGGTTCCACTGGGACAACAACAGCGGTCGTACAGAAATGGCTGGGTGGGGATCAAAGGACACGGTAAGCCTAGGAACCCAGGAATTCCCTGGGCAGATCTCCGTCTGTGGTTTGTCCCGAGGGCACCATCATGGCCAACATAAGTAAACCAGCTGTTTGTGGATCCATGTTGCCTTACCCGTGCTGTGTGTAAGTCTCACTCACTGGCATGGAATACAACGGGGCTATTCTTTACAGGGCTTTTGCGGGTTGGTTTCTATTGGGAATCACTGTGATAGCTGCTACCCAGTGGTTCTCCTTGCTCCTTATTTCTGCTAAAAGGGGATGTGTTCTCCCAGAGGAGCCAGCAGTTGACTAAACCAAGTGACCACAGTCTGGGATAGGCTCACAAAAGCCCAGTTCTAATGAATGCCACCTATAAATAAAAGGGTTACACTTTTTGCTGGCGTAAGTCCAAGAACTTGTGCTTTATGGCTTTCTCTTAAAATGGTCAAAAGAAGCCGTTCCATCCTTATACCTATGTACTAAGCTAGTTTCCCAGCCACTGTTTTGCTTTCGTTTTTTCCCAGAAAACTCAGAGACCCCAGAGAATATGCAAGTTTCAGTGCATACTTGGAAGACCTTTTTTACCTTCCCAATTGTGACATTTTTTCTTAGCTTCCCCGCAGTGCTTGCCATACACCCAAATCAATTCACTGAATTAAGTATGCTCTGTGTGAGATGTGAGCAAAGGAAAAGCTGCTAGGAACAGAGTAAGTACAAAATAAGGTGTAAAATCCTTACACCCTTACAAACAAGGCCAAAAACTAGGATCTTGGGTTTGACATTTTGTGGCTCTTTTAAAATTCCAAACTATTCCTTAGGCCTTAATTAGGGACAGTGTAATGCTCAAAATTGGATTAAAGACCAAGGATTCCAACTAAATCCAAAATAAAGATGATTGAGAAGAACTAAAGAATTGTTGGGCTGCAGCAGCCAGGCAATTTCAGTGAATTTCCACGAATTCCAACTTTTTGGTTGGGTTTGTTTGGTTAATGATACACCCCTTATAGCAGAAAAACTTAGGTCTGAAAGCACAACCCACAGACAAAACCTTCAGTGTAATGTTTTCATTATTCCCAGAGGAGCAAGATCGCTGAGAGCCTATCCACTTGACCTGTTAAAAACTAGTCACCATGAAGAAAGTGCATTCTTAGAATGCCTCATGGAGTGACTCTTCTGTTACGTCTATGAGGTGTTTTTATTTTGTATGGACTTTAGTTTGGGATTCAAATAGTCAGGAATGTCTAAATCTACATTCTCCACAGAGTCTGTCTGGTCCCCTAGGGAACAGTGAGAATTAAATATTAAACCATGGTAATAATGCTAATCTCAATGACAAGTATCTGTAGTTTAATGTTTAATCCTCACTATGCTATAGGGCGTTTCACTCCAAATACCTGTCTGCTAATGGTTAAGTGGGCAACCCCGCAGTTACCTACTCCCTGAGTTGTAGTGCCTTCCAATTTATAACTCTTAGAGTAACACTTACATTGTAATAATCTCATTTAGTCCTCATAACAACCCTGTGTGTGACGTATTACTATCATTATATTTTCATAAATGAGGTCTATGAGATTAGGCGACTTGCCTAAATGTTACAGCTACGTCAGATTCAGAACTGATACTAGAATGATAACTTACGACTCCAAGTTCCAGCACTTGCTATAGCCACAGTTACCTTCCAGGTAATTATTAATACTTTTGAGATACATTCTCAAAGGAGCACTTAAAGAAAAGTTGTATCTATCATCACAAATTAAAGGGACTTTGGTACCTAAGACAGGTCAATCATTGTTTGGTGCAGAGTGCCCTAGAATTCCCTGACATATGATCTACGTATTGTAAAGGAAACTGAAAAGATGGAGGAGGAGAAGGAGGAGTATAATTCAAGAAAAACCAAGCAGTAAATTTTTACTGCTCAGTTTTACTTTTAAAAAGCTAAATATTGGCCGGGTGCGGTGGCTCATGCCTATAATCCCAGCACTTTGGGAGGCCGAGGCGGGTGGATCATGAGGTCAGGAGTTCAAGACCAGACTTGCCCACATGGTGCAACCCTGTCTCTACTAAAAAAATATAAAAATTAGCTGGGCATGGTGGCTCGTGCCTGTAATCCCAGCTACTTGGGAGACTGAGGTAGGAGAATAGCTTGAACTGGGACCCTGGAGGCAGAGATTGCAGTGAGCTGAGATCGCGCCACTGCACTCCAGCCTAGGCTACATAGCAAGACTCCATCTCAGAAAAAAAAAAAAAAAAAAAGCTAAATATTTAAGGTTATTTTAAAGTCATTTTGAAGCTGACGCTATGGTTTCAACACAATGTTTAAAGGAGGCCTTTTAGGGCTATGCGAGTTAAAACTGTGGACCTTTTTTCACCAGCAGGGGGCAGTAGGCATTTCCCCCATCGGTGTCCTCCTGTTGTATTAAGAGCCCCACACCTGGCTCCCCACCACCACCCTTGGTGAGGAGTCTGAGGGTAACAGAATAGAGTGACTGACTTGGTTTAATTCCAGAAAGTCTTGAGCTCTAACACTCTCAAGTAGAATGCATCATGGTATTGGGTTTCTCTACAAATTTTATATAAATTCCAGGAATTGGGAAGAAAAAGTTCAAGGATGTGCAATTAACTCTTGTTGTTCAAGATCAGAATAAGCTGCCAAAATATTTTTGTTAATGATTGGAAGTCCAATTTGTACTTATCTTTAATGAACAAGGAATACCAGAGCCTGCCAGGGAAATTGATGATAAGAGTCTGCTCACTTTCTAGAGAGAATCCTTTTCCCTCTACTCCACAAAAAAAGTGCTGAATAAACAAAATCACAAATTGATGGCATCCTGGGCAGTTGAGTTATGAGTCAGTTATGTCCAGGCTAGCAAAATGGCCGAATGCCTGGACAGCATCGTAAGTATGAACCATGGCAAAGCCTAAGGAATGTAAGAAACAGATACACCTAAAAGAGAAGCAAGGTGCACACAAAGTCTCCACAGCACCTGTGAGAATGACCTTCAGCGAATCTTGACCCGTCCTCTTTATCTTCAGTGCCCAATCCTTTCCATTTTCTTCCTCCCCAGACACACTCAGAGAGGCTGTAAAACCAAATCTGTCAGAAAGCACGGATGTATTTTAAGCTTGTAGGAGAATTTCAAGGAGAAAGAGACATACCTCAGGACCCCTGGTTCTCAGGCTATGAGCTGATCCTGAAGCCAGAACCTGGTAACCCTCCTAGGTAAGATAAATCTTGTTAGCTTCCTAGGTTCGGTAATTGAGTCCACAAAATAAACTGGTAACAGGAGGATTAACGACAAAAAAGGAATACACATTTTTTTCATTTTAATATTTTAAAATATTTATGATCTAATGTTTTAAATAATAAAGTATTTTAAATGTATTTTTAATATTACATGCATGGACGCATCATAGGAAAAAAGTGAATACACAAACAAGTGGTGAGGTTTGAGAGCTTATATACACTGTCTTAAGAAAAGAAGCAGAGAGAGGATGTAGACCACTTAGGGGAGAGTAAGTGATTTTTAGGAAAGATGAATGGACCCTTAGAAGAAGAGCTGAGAGATAGAATAGTTTGTGACAAAGTGTGTCTGGGTGTGGTGTCAGCTTCTGGTCTCCTCTCCTGTGATTAAGAACCAATCTTTCCTGGCTGATGAAACTCCTGGGGAAGGAATTTATGACAGTTGAGTTCCTCTTGGAGGTTCTGTCTTTAGGCAGGTAATAAGAGCTTGGCGAGAGTTTCCGCATTTGCTATTTTTCAAATGCCTTGAGCTCAAAATGATCAATATACCAAAGTGGCATATTTTGGGGTGCCATGTCCTGAACTCCTTCAACCTAATTTGAAAAGAAGTCTCAGATACTGCCACAGTGGCTTTTTTTTTTTTTTTTTTTTTTTTTTTTTTTTTTTTGAGCTGGAGTCTCGGTCTTGTTGCCCAGGCTGGAGTGCAATAGCGCAATCTCAGCTCACTGCAACCTTTGCCTACCGGGGTTCAAGCAATTCTCCCACCTCAGCCTCTGGAGTAGTTGGGATTACAGGCACCCACCACAATGCCTAGCTAATTTTTTTGTACCTTTAGTGGTGATGGGGATTCACCATGTTGGCCGGGCTGATCTCGTACTCCTGACCTCAGGTAATTCGCCCACCTCGGCTTCCCAAAGTGCTGGGATTACAGGCATGAGCCACTGTGCCCACCCACAGTGCCATTTTAAATTGAAATGTGAACGTGTCTGAAGGTATGTCCCTGTATTAGTCGGCGTGCGTTGCCATAACAAAGTAACACAGACCACATGGCTTAAACAACAGAAATTTATTTCTCACAGTGCTGAAGGCTAGGAAGTTCAATATCAAGGTGCTGGAAAGATAGGTTTCATTCTCAGGCCTCTTCTTTTGGTTTGTAGGTGGCCACCTTCTCACGTTGTGCTAGCATGTCCTTGAGAACAAGATCTCTGTCAACTCTTTTTATAGGGATGCTAATCCTACCATGTCAAAGCCCCACCCTTGTCACCTCAGGTAGCCTTTGCTACCTCCTTATAGGTCTTATCTCCAGTCACCTTAAGGCAGGGGTGCCCAATCTTTTGGCTTCCCTGGGCCACATTGAAAGAACAAGAATTGTCTTGGGCCGCTCATAAAATACACTAACAATAGCTGATGAGATAAATTTAAAAATTGCCAAAGAAAATCTCATCCTTTTTCTTTTGTTTGCGTTTTGTTTTTTGAGACAGGGCCTTGCTCTGTAGCCCAGGCTGTAGTGCAGTGGTGCCATCTCAGCTTACTGAAATCTCTGCCTTCCAGGTTCAATCAATTCTCCTGCCTCTGCCTCCCGAGTAGCTGGGATTACAGGCATGCGCAGCAACGCCCAGCTAATTTTTGTGTTTTTAGTAGAAACACTGTTTCACCGTGTTGGCCTGGCTGGTCTTGAACTCCTGACCTCAAGTGATCCACCCGCCTCAGCCTCCCAAAGTGTTGGATTACAAGCATGAACCACCACGCTGGCCTGAAAAGAAAGTTTACAAATTTGTGTTAGGCCCCATTCAAAGCTGTCCTGGGCCTCATGCATCCTGTGGGCCGTGGGTTAGACAAGCATGCCTTAAGGGTTAAGGTTCAACATATGAATTTGGAAGGTGGAGGCATGGGGGAATACAACTCAGTCCTTAGTAGCATAGAAGTCACCTTTCCCCATTCTTTGGGGTCAATATGCCCCAGTCTCAGGTGAGACCAGATCTTTTAGCAGACTTATCTAAAAGCATGAGAAAAATATAAAGTAGTGCTTCCTCATCTGAAAGGTTACAGGCCCCCTCCAGTGAATGCTGATGAGGAGAATGTATGGCCTTGGACTTCTGGACTCTGTAAAAGGCCAGAATTATTATAGAGTGGCAGTTTAAAAATGCATCTTAAAGAACAGCAAATGTGTTCCACTTGGGGGATAATTTTAATATTTGGATAGGCATTAGTGCTATGTATTGGACATAATTTAAAACAAAAACACTTGCTTCAGTGTGCCGCATTTGACATTTAATGTTTTTCTGTCTCTGGGAACTGGATTCTCAGTCTTATAGATCCCTCGGCAAAGTCCATGCCCCCTAGCTACCCACAGTGCGACACTAGTGCTCTACTGTCTAGGTATGTCAGCATCACAGTAAGAATGCCCGCGCATCCAAACCATGATGGGTAAAGGAGGCTTTGGAAATCAGCTAGCCACAGCAAGGGAAGCAATTGAAGTCGTTAACTTTTTTTCTTCCAGCACAGAAAAGGGCATTTTCTTTGTCCTCAAGTGACCAAAAAATGCTTTTAAACACTCGAGGGGAAGTAGTTTGCAAATGGCCAGCATGTTGATGGTCGTTATCCATTTGGCTCCCATTTCCCAGGCTGGAGAAGCCTGTGTGTGCAGTCCCTCAGCACGGCCTTCTGAAGGCGCACCTCCTGCAGAGGTGTTGACGGGAAAGGCGAGGAAGAGGGGATAATGTGACCTGCTTTTACCAGGAAGCTTCAGATCATTTCCCTTTGTCTCTGTGCCCCTTTGGGAGATTTTGATCCAATTTGCTGTGGTGAGAAGAAGCTCTCAACATTACAAGGGAAAAAAAAAACCCAAAACTTTCATTTTCCTCCTAAGAAATGAAATTTTATTTCTGGATGACAAGGGCTTTGGAAAGCCATGGTGTGGTAATGAGTGACCCTTTCATAGCTGTTGAACATCAGTAGACGACACATCCGAAGTATAGAGGCAGCTCTTAAAATACCAGCTAAAGGAAGAATTTAGAGAACAGAATGTCTTTAAGGAACTGTGTGAATGTTATTGATTCTTTCAAATAATGGTGTAACCTCTGTGATATAGCAACAATCTTCATGAGCTGTATTTATAAGGAACTGAGCTCATGAAGACAGCATGGGGGGTCTGGCGATGCAGGGCCCTTTGTTAGCCATTGTTCTATTATTAGTATTGTTAGCATTGCCCTGCACAAGTTATCTTCTTTTTCTCCAGCCCCCTGGATATTCAGCAGAAATGATTTAAGAATGCCTGTAACGGCTGGGCGCAGTGGCTCATGCCTGTAACCCCAACACTTTGGGAGACTGAGGTGGGTGAATCACAAGGTCAAGAGATGGAGACCATCCTGGCCAACATAGTAAAACCCCATCTCTACAAAAAATTTTTTAAAAAATTAGCTGGGCCTGGTGGCATGCACCTGTAGTCCCAGCTGCTTGGGAGGCTGAGGCAGGAGAATCACTTGAACCCAGGAGGTGGAGGGTGCAATGAGTTGAGATTATGCCACTGCACTCCAGCCTGGTGAGAGAGCGAGACTCCATCTCAAAAAAACAAAAAGAATGCCTGTAATTTAGTCTCCTGCCTGGCATCACCTAAGAGTTCAGGAGTGCAGTGACAGGTTAACTGAGCTCTTGAAGAAAGATGCTGTGGACAGAGAGGTATAAGTCAGAGGAGTGACACATTCCGTGATGATGGGAAAGAAGAAAGCTGAAATCCCAAGGTGCTCCCTGACATTTGCCAGTCACATAAACTGATGAGAGAGTTTGTTATTAAGGGCCTTTTTGTTTCATTAGAAATCAAACCGAAAAGACTCTGGTGTCATAATTTAATCTCTTGCAAAATTATGTGATCAGAGGTTCCAGCCATAACCACAGAGATATTGGAGGTTGGTAAATGATGCTCTGACTCAAAAGCTTCAAAGACATAGGAGGGGCAAAGGGAAGGAAATGTATCATTAGTAAACAGGGTGACCAAGTGGGCAAACATTCACCTATGATGTCACCTGCTTCTATATGATAAAGGATTACACACCCAATTTCAGAACACTGTGCGTCCCATTTTTCATTACTTAACAATGTGAGATACTAAATTAATGTCAAATTGGTTTTAATGAACTAAACAAAAGCCCAATTCAATCTATCTCAAGCCATAGATGGTCTGGATGTACCACGGTTTCTTCCATTACTCCATAATACGGCCCCTACTTCTAGAAACAACATGGAAACAAATATCCTCCTTCGTGGAATCTTACATATTATAACTTTTGTTTCTTTTTTAAAAAAGTATCAGTATTTCAAACATAAAGAACAAATGATAACTGAAAAACACAGAAGTGTGGAACATTTTTTAAAACAATTGTTAACATTTTGCCATATATTTTTTTAAAAAAGGTTGGAATTATAGTTAAAGATCTCTTTATTTCGCTTCCATTTCATCTCTTTCCTTCTCTAATTATTATCTTAAATCAGCTGTATACTGTCTCCATTCACATTTTACTATGTATATAAAGTCCTGTGTAACTTAAAGATGTACATAACTGAGCTCATGCTCTAGGTATTTTCCTGCAGTTTGTTTTCTATTGTTTATAACATTATATTTTTAAAGACTTACCACATTGACATATGTAAAGTCTTTAATTTTGACATGTAAATCTATCTCATATCTGATATTTACCTAGAAAATATAATGTCATTCAGATGGTGCCAACTGCTATACAAATGATGCTTCATAAATCCTTGCTACACGTCTCCTTGAGGTTCTTTGGTACATATACCTGGTAGTGAAGTAGGTGAGTTAAATCGTGTGTTGATTATCAACTTCACATGGTATTGCCAAATTTGTACCTATATGCACTTCTACAATAAATAAGAATTCTCATTTCCCCACATTATTGCCAATGCTCTTTAATCTTTGCAAGCCTTATTAGATGAAATGCCATCTCATAGTTTTTATTTCATTTCCCAAATTTCTGGTGAGTTAAGCATGGTTTCAAAGGTTCATTGGCCATTTGGTTTTCCTCGTCTGTGAATTCCTATTTCTTTGTGCTTTGCCCATTTCTTTCTCTTGGGTTGTCTTTTTCTTATTGAATATGGAAAAATTTTATATATCAGGTTGAGTCAGATGTCTTTTTTGTGGGTCAAAAATTGTTGAATATTGGCAATTTCATATGGATAAAAACAAGTATTTCTGGATATTAATATTCTGATCATTTTATGAGTAGCAGCTATCTTCTGCCAGTTTATGACTTCTCTTTTAAATATGTTATGGAGTTGGGAGCGGTGGCTCACAACTGTAATTCCAGCACTTTGGCAGGCTGACCTGGGTGGATCACCTGAGGTCAGGAGTTCGAGACCAGCCTCACCAACATAGTGAAAACCCGTCTTTCCTAAAAATATAAAAACTTAGCTGGACGTGGTGGCACACACCTGTAATCCCAGCTATTCAGGAATCTGAGAGAGGAGAATCGTTTGAGCCCAGGAGGCAGAGGTTGCAGTGAGCCGAGACTGTGCCACTACACCCCAGCCTGGGCAACAAGAGTGAAACTCCATCTCAAAAAAATAAAAATAAAAATAAAAAATTAATGTGTTTATGACATATTTTGGCATATAGAAATAAATACTAATATCACCAATTTTTTATCAACATTTTCCTTTATGGTTCATGTTTTCTCTCTGTCTCTCTTTTTTTTTTTTTTTGAGTTAGTCTTACTCTGTCACCAGGGCTGGAGTGCACTGGTGCAATCTTGGCTCACTGCAACCTTTGCCTCCCGGGTTCAAGCGATTCTCCTGCCTCAGCCTCCTGAGTAGCTGGGATTGCAGGCACCCGACACTATGCCCAGCTAATTTTTTGTATTTTTAGTAGAGACGGGTTTTCACCGTGTTGGCCAGGCTGGTCTCAAACTCCTGACCTCGTGATTCGCCCTCCTCAGCCTCCCAAAGTGCTGGGATTAAAGGCGTGAGCCACCATCTGGCCTTCTCTGTTTTCTTTAAGGAGCTTTTTCCTACCCCTATATCTTGAAGAGATGACTCTCATATTTCTATGGTACTGATTTCTTAGAAATAGGAGTTCTAGATTACAAGACACATGTGTGCATTTCAATCTTACTTAAATTTCCAACACCAATGTGTGAGAATATCTTTTGCAAAAAAACTGTCTAGCTGATGAATGAGAATAAATATCATTTTAATTTACATTCCCTTGACAACTAGTAAAATAGAGCATCTTTTTATGAGTTTAATCACATTTAGATTTGCTCATCTGTGAATTTTCTATCTATATTATTTGCTATTATGTTTGTTGCATTGTCTATCCATTTCTTACTAATTTATGGGAGTTATTTGCATCTTACTGATAGTAACGCCTTATATGACACATCCATGGCAGTTTTTCCCTAATCTAGCATTTGTATATTACCTTGAACAACAGTATGTCTTTCCATACTCACAAATTTACATTTTCATATATCAAATATGTCCACATATTCTTCTATTACTTTTAAGTTTCTTTATTTGTTTGTTTGGAGTTTTTGGCTGGTACAGGGTCTCACTCTTTTGCCCAGGCTGGAATGCAGCAGCACAATCACGGCTCACTGCAGCCTCGACCTCCCAGACTCAAGTAATCCTCCCACCTAAGCCCCCCAAGAAGCTGGGACTACACGCCTGGCTATTTTTTTTATTTTTTGTAGAGAAAGGGTACTTGATATGTTGCCAAGCTGGTCTTGAACTCCTGAACTCAAGTGATCCTCCTGCTTTAGCTTCTCAAAGTGTTGAGATTACAGGTGTGAGCCATTATGCCTGGACTAAGTTTCTTGCTTTGATATAATGTATGTAAAAGTCTCTCTGATCCCTAACTTATACATATATTCTTCTAAAATTTCTTCTGATATTCTGTTTGCTTGCTTTGTTTACTTTTGAATATTTAATCTCTCTTAAATTTTTCTAGTTATTGTGAGGCAGATGTGGAAATAGAAAGAAACAATTTTTGTATCATTGGACGCCCTGGTATGTAAATAAACCCTATCACATCATATTGCAGCGCATATGTTGCATGTTTGATTTGTTCCACAGCTCATAGGTAAGAGAATTATCACATGCTTTTGTTTTTCTAAATTCATTTCAAATACACTCTGTCCCCTCCATTATGGTTGCTGGGAAATCTAATCTGTCATTTGGTCAGGAAGCTCCTCTCACGCATTTGGAATTATACAAGAACTCTAGGGCCTAGTGGTCAAATATAATGGGGATAAAGTCCTTGGTTATCAGTTAGTTGGGTTTATTTTGGAGAACTTGGACTTCCTGACCATTTAATCCGTTTGTGGTGGGTAACTCCTCTGGCAGTATTTATGTTCTCCATGGCCAGGTTTTGGCAGTGTTATCTTCACTGAGAATCCCACTTGGGATGCTGAGTTCCTGGTCTACCTGGGTTCAGGCAGAACCATGGCTATTGGCATTCCTACCAACTCCTGGGCTTTAGGTAAATGCATCAATCCCATCCTACTGTCTTCTGGAAACCAAGTCTCCTCCTCCCTGTCCCAAAGGTTGGTTCTCTCTCTCTCTCTCTCTCTCTCTCTGTTTCTCTCTCTTTCTCTCTCTCACTCTTTTGAGATGGAGTATCACTCTGTCACACTGGCTGGAGTGCAGTGGTGTAATCTCATCTCACTGAAACCTCCGCCTCCTAGGTTAAAGTGATTCCCCTGCCTCAGCCTCCTGAGTAGCTGAGACTACAGGCACACACCACAAAACCCAGCTATTTTTTTTGTATTTTTAGTAGAGATGGGGTTTTGCCATGTTGGCCAGGCTAGTCTGGAGCTCATAACCTCAGGTGATCCACCCACCTCAGCCTCCCAAAGTGCTGGGATAACAGGCACGAGCCACGGAGCCCAGCTGGGTCCTTCTCTCTTATCCTCCAAGTATATAGCCTTGATCCCAACTCCTCTAGAAGACCCAGCTTAAATTCTCATCTTCAGGGCTGAAAAACAAAAGAATATGTTAACAGTGGGGTAGTGAGGGATGAGGGTACAACAGGTTGTTGAATGAAGGGTAGACTTTATTACCAAGACTTTCTGAGTAAGAAATCTCAGTCTTAATAGATATTCAATAGCTCATCTCCCATCCACCAAGAATGAACAGCATGCTTCTTCTAAAATGGGGAAAGCCTCATAAATTGTTAACAACTCATCTGTCATATCATATGGGGGGTGTATGTGTGTGTAAAATCTTTATAAAGATCTGGAAGAACGTAAACCTAATCTTTAATGTAGCTATCTCCAAAGGTTGAAAATAATGAGAACTTCTATTTTTTATTTATATATCATCTGAGTTATTTTTTAAATCTTAAAAATTAGAAAAATTAATATATTTAGGAAAATGTCACAAAATGCTGGAAGAATGTTGACTGCAAACAAAGACATTCTAAACAAAATTTGCAGAGGCTCTCCAGGTATTTACCCACCACACACCCTTTTCAGACACTACGGGGAAGAGGGATATAAAGACAGAGCAGTGAGCAAGGGAGAACTGTCCTGTGTGTTCTCAAAAAAGCTGTTAGGTGTGATGAAAAAATCCCTAGATTAGCAGTTAGCCACTTGGGTTCCTGTCCTGGTTTTGCCATGAAATCATTGTGTAATTTTTTTTTTTTTTTTGTGATGAAATCTTGCTTTTGTTCCCCCAGGCTGGAGTACAATGACACGATTTTGGCTCACTGCAACCTCCTTCTCCTCCTGGGTACAAGCGATTCTCCTGCCTGAGCCTCCCAAGTAGCTGGGATTACAGGCACCCACAACCACGCCTGGCTAATTTTTGTATTTTTAGTAGAGACAGGTTTCACCATGTTGGCCAGGCTGGTCTCGAACTCCTGACTTCAGGTGAGCCTCCCACCTTGGCCTCCCAAAGTGCTGGGATTACAAGCATAAGCCACCACACCCAGCCAGTTGTGTAATTTTAACAAGTTTCTTTATCTCTGGGCTCCTGATTCTTTCCGAAAACTAGACCATCTCCAAACTCTCTTTCAGCTCTAGAATTTTATGATAATTATGATTTAGAGGGTCTTAGTTGTCAGCTATGACTCTAATTGCAAGTATCATAGTGTCTCTAGCCATAAAACATCCAACTTTCTTCCTTGAAAGGGTGGTGTATCTTCCTTGAAAGGATGGATCTATCTACCAGCCTTTCTCTCAGCCCTTCCTGATATGCAAATAACCATTGAACCAAATTAATACAAGAGCTTTTGCCTGGAAAATGCCTCACTAACAGGAGAGCCGGGATTTTGCTCCTGGTATCGTCAGGTTAAATAGACTGCCACCAGACCCAACAGCTGGGCTGGTTCCTTCCAGGCAGCCTGCCAGCGTGTGAGGACAGGGGCACTTTGGCTGGCACCGAGATCTCTGCAGAACATGATCTCCCCTCTGCTCACTTTGTCTTGTTAGGCCCTCGAGGCCCGAGCAGCTCTGAGATTGTGTCCTGGTCACTGAAGCAGCCTCCTCTCCATGGAGATGGCTCTGAGACCCTGCCCCCTAAAGCTAATTGAGGTTCTGTGATAGATTTGTTTTCTGTTTCTACCTTTAACAGCCTCACTGAGCTCTGCCCTGGGCAGCACAAATGGTTTTTGTCTCTTATTCTACCTAATTGAGTAGTTCTCAACAAGGTGGAAGAAAGATATCTATTTCCACCTTTCCAACACCAAGTCTAACCCACTGTGCTGTTTGCCTTTTTAGCTGGGGCTTCTTAAAAATAGCATTTTGGAGAACTAGACTGAGGATGGTGAAAGAGAATGCTGCTTCTCCACAAGAGAATCAATAGTCTTTTATCCCTAAAGATAAACTACTGTTATGTTAGGTAGTGTGAACTGGAAATCATGGGATTTCAGGGTTAGGTAGGATGTCAATATCACATTATCCTAATAAGCTTCTATATATTAGTTCACATTAAGATATTAATATATAACCTGCCCCAGTTCCTGCTGACCAATCCAGTTTATAAACATAGTCTTTTAATCTATTAATCAACAAAAATTTACTGAACATCTGTGCCCCATTTAATATTGGATAACAAGATAGAATGTAATATGATTCTAGAGTTGTTTTTAGAGTTGGAAATGCCTAAAACCTAAATGACAAAATATTCAGTCTTATTAAAACCCAGTCAAGCCTGTAATCCCAGCACTCTGAGAGGCCGCGGTGGGAGAATCACTTGCTTGAGCCTAGGAGTTTGACATTAGCCTGGGCAACATGGCGAAACCCTGTCTGTATTAAAAAACAAAAATGAGCCACCAGGCCTGTAGTCCCAGCTACTGGGTAGAGTGGGTGCTGAGGTGGAAGAATCACCTGAGCCCAGGAGGCAGAGATTGCAGTGAGCTGAGATTGTGCCACTGCACTCCAGCCTGGGCGACAGAGTGGGACCTTATCTCAAAACAAAACAAACAAAAAAACCCCAAAGGATGTTAAGCACAAAGTTAAGAAACAAGACTTCTCATTTCTCCTGTGCTTTTGGTGAGTTGTGATGGGTGTGAGTATTAGTGGATATACGCTATATATGTTGCATATCCAAGCAAACTATTGTGTTCTCTGAGCTTAGTGCCATATGTGGCATAGGAATGTAGGATCCAAGAGGAAGAGGAGATGATCCTCTATATGCATTTAAGCTATGAAAATTCAATATATATTTCTCTCAGCACACAAGGAGAACTCGTTTAATTGTGCTGGTGATTCTGCCGTTTCACTCACTGAGGGTATGTTTGGGATATGTATCGGGTTTACAACATACAGCACTATACATGAGTAGAAAAGTCACTTTGTTTTTCTATAGCTGAACACAGCTTAACTCCCAAGCCCCTACTTCTGGTAGGCAAATGTAAAAATATTATTTCAAAATAACTCAAGCATTCTAGTTTAATATTTCGGCTCTTTGGGTGCACATTTGAGCACTGCAGATGCCTTCCCCTCACCACCTTCCTGCTTTTCTTCACAGGGGAGAGACTCAAGATACCTGTTGAGCTCTGCGTGCTCTCCCTGTTCTGTGCTGACCTCAGTTGAGGTGGGACTCCTCCTTCCTAGTTTGTGGGCACTGTGACACCATCCCACTGCTGATGGTTGGCAATTCAGGCTCCAAGTCCACAGTCTACACATTGGCCAACCCTGACCCAACCCAGGCCTCTTCTGGTCTAGTGGTCCCTTCAAGATGTCTGAATCCTCCTTGCGGGGCTCAGGAACCCTCAGCTACCTTTCTCCTCTACGAGGAGGGAGTAGGAGGGCAGGTGGTAGCTTTCAGGCCCATTAGAATTACCAGATGCAGATGTAATTCATTAGTGACTATCTCAGAATATTCTACACATCAATCTTTTGTACTGTCATTCTGACTGAGTTTATTAGACGTTGAATGCAATCATATCATTTTAAGGGTATGTTTTTATCAACAATATTGCCTCTAAATGCAAGTCAACCATTTAATCTAGTGCCTAACCAAAGCTAGAGGAAGTGTTCCCTGGGTTTGATTACCCACACACGGTCTGTGTTGGTTTCCATCATGGAACCTGCATGAGGGAATTTCAAAGCTACTTGTGCTTATTCATGATTTTCACTTTATATTCTGATTTCGTCATCTAGGCCTTTGAAAGAATAACTCCATAAAACTTTTTTCTGCTGTTTTTTTTTTTTTTCTACTCTGTGCTCAATGATTTGATTGTTAAAATAAGGTACAGTGCCTAAAAGAGAACTAATGAAAACAAAATTCTTACAGCATTGCCAGAAGCAGAGTTTTTCTGCTGGAGTTTTAAAAAACCCATTTAAGAAGCCCAAGAAGCTGTAGCATACACCTGTGGAGGGACAAGGACCTACCTGTCCTATCTTCCTTTGAACCTCTAGCATTTAACGTTATACTTAGCACATATTACGTGCTCAACATATTTCCTGAAAAAAAAATGAAGAAGCAAATTAACAAACCTCCAAACAGCAATTTCTATCAATGAGGCATAGAATGTACTGGTTATTGAAATGAAATAGTTCAATTTGAGCAAAGCTAGTGGGCTTCCATAGGAGCTGCTTGTTGTAGAGTCTGCGTATCAGAGATACTGACTTATAAGCTAACCTGATTACGAAAGAAATAGCATATCTTGTACATTCTGTGGATTGGACTGCCTCCTGTGAGTCTGCAAGGCGGGTACACTCCCGTGATGTTCAGCCATTCTATTTCACGTTAAAGAATTACTTTTACTTCATACAGAGCACTTTGTGGTGCCCATTAGAATTTCAGCCAACTCAACCCACAGAAACACAGACACGATTCTGAGAAATGGTCTCTGAGAACCCCCAAAAGCCCAAGGTGTGAGTGGCCTTCTTTCAGCTCTTGTTCTGTGCTTATATGCCACGTACTTTTAAAAGGCCTATGTGTTTGGTCTCCTGATCACAGAGGTTCCAGGCAGCAAACCCCAGAAGGGTGGGGAAGGCTGTGAGGTGAGCACTCAGGCTGCAAGAGAGGTGACGGCTTCTGGATGCTGCTGAAAGAAGGGGCAGCAAAACTCACGCACACATGCAACCACATGTGGTGGACAGTTGCCCTAGCCCAGCTTCCTTTCCTTTGGAGGCCACGCTGCTCCTTCTCCATGTGGCTCTGGTATCATCATTCCAAGCATAACGCCTTCAACCCCAGCCACCACGGGAGTGAGCAGAGAAGTGATGCGCAGCCTTCCTTGAGACAGGGGAGAACGAGCGAGGAGAGGCTCCAGGATGTGACCAGGCTGGAACAGGGAATGCGTGGCTGCAGAAGGCTCTTTCTCTAGCACACAGACAGAGACAGGTTCTTGTTTTTCTTTTCTTCTTCTTCTTTTTTTTTTT